ACGGTTTACCTCCACACCACAATACGCCTCAATGAGCAATTACGTGGTTTATACTCGTGGTGAGCGAGTTCATACTTTCTCCAGCGTACAGAATCTGATTAAAGCGATGCATTCGAGACTGGAAAGCAGGTTACCGCAGTGTTTGATCATTTTCATGAGTTTAACAATGCCCTTAATGCTGAATTTGGTTCACCGCGTAGAATGAAGTTCCGAACTCGAAGCAGCCTGAAATGGAGGCACTTTCCTAGTATTCAAGTGGACTCGCGGTTGCGTAATTGTTTGGGGCACTTAACTACAAGCCGGAAGGTCGCGGATTCCATTTCCGATGAGGTCATTGAATGTTTTGGATATACCTAATCCTTCCAGCCGCAATATGGCCCTGGGGTCGACTCATCCTCCAACAGAAATTAGTTTCAGGGATCTTCCTGGGGGCAATGGGCGGCCGGCCGGCGCGTAAAGCTGACCTCACCGCCAACTGTGAGCCGATTGTCTAGAAAATGTTGGAGCCTCGACGTCTCAGAACCGTATGGGTCTCCACGCCGTTACAGGGATAGCTTTTTATCTTAGTATTTTAAGCCCATGTAAGCAGTTGCTGTGTCGGTATTTGAAACCAGGACATGCTGAATGCAGAGACAGATGTGGGCTCAGTGGTGGAGTGGCTCACCCATGATCGGGATATTCAAGTATCCATCCTGGTCACAGAAAGTCTTTGTTCAGACTGTACCGAAGCTATACTTGCATTTTAAAATCCTTGCAAATTCGTGAATTACAACGTTAGATAAACCCATCTGTTAATACGCCAGAGCTTAGAACCGGTTCTGTAACCTTGCACTAATGGCTGTCGTGACAAGCTTGAGGGCTACCTTAACACACTGCTTCGCTGAGAGATCACAGGACTCCGTACGTCACCACGTCATGTGGAACACGGCGTCACTGCATTCACCAGGAACGCTCCTGCGAATTCTGTGATTGGCCGTCACGGGCACGTGGCCATGGCCGGTACCACTGCCTTGACATCCGCCCTACCCTCCAAACGCCCAACAGTTTATTTGGTCAGAAATTTTAACACATTTAGGTCTGAAATTCGTGTGAGTGGTATTTATCCGGCTACTGTTCCTTCATTTCGAAGACGAACTGGCTAATTATGTTTATCCGAATAAACAGAAAATTATTCGGATAAACACCGTTAACCAGCTGGTCTTTGCAATACAGGCGTCATGTATTGTCTGTGAAGTAGCAGCTGAATAAATATAATTTTCACGAGGGCGTGTAGCACGAATGGGGGAGAAGAAGGAATGCTTGTATAATATTGGTAAGAAAGCCAGAAGGAAAGAGTCCATTAGGAAGACCAAGACGTAGATGGGTGGATAACATTAAAATGGATCTTCGAGAGACAGTATCGGGTGGTATGGACTGGATTTATCTGGCTGAGGATACGGACAAGTGGAGAGCTCTTGTGAACACGGTAATGAACCTTCGGGTTCCGTCAAATGTTGTGGAAATTCTTGAATAGCTGCACAACTGGCAGATTCTGAAGAAGCGCTCAGCTCCATGAAGTTAGTTGGTTAGTTAGTAAGTTAGATAGTTACATGTATGTGTTGATACTCCTAAATACACCGTGCGTGCATGAAGCAAAATTTATTTACTCGTATGTTAAAGCAGTTGGAACGCATGGTTGGGATTGTTTTCTATAGGGGCTCTATTGAGAAATAGGAAATTATTTTATTGATCTTAATGGAAGTTGATTAATCCAGAACTCCTTAATATTTTCCTGTAATATAAACATTAAGGCGACCGCCTCTGTCTAGTGGTCAGCGTTACTGGCTACAGATCCATAGGTCCGGGTTCGATTCCCGGCAGTATCAGATTTTTTCGGAGAAGTAGTGGGTCTGGAACGGGGTCCCCTCAGCCTCATGTGATAATTGAGGAGCTATTTCAAAGAAATAGCGGCTCCGGTCTAGAAAACCGAAATTAACGGCCGTGGGGATTCGTTGCGCTGACCATGCGACACTCTCTATCCGCAAAAGTTGGCACTAACTTCGCCGACAAGCAGCGGTCGCTCGGTCGGTATAGCTCGCTTGCGGACTAAATTCACGGAGTTATAAGCATTAATGTATCTAACAGTATCTTTATACCAAATACGATCGAGTATGCATTTCTTGTTTCCTCCATATGCCCTGAGTGATTGGCTTGGCTTAGGTTGCGTGCTACATTTCATTCCCATCTCGTGATCAAAAAGNTACGTGTGTAAGTATTAAGGTATCTAACAGTATCTTTATTCCAAATACGATCGAGTATGCATTTTTTATTTCCTCCATATGCCCTGAGTCATTGGCCTGGCTTAGGTTGCGTGCTACATTTCATTCCCATCTCGTGACCGAAAAATTATCAGACATGAGCTGTTGTTTATTCAAATCGTTCTTTAGCTGAATATTACTATCTTAGAGGAAGTACCTCCGTCTTCAGGGCAGAAAAAATCTTAAGACGTTGTTACTCGTCTACCAATATACACGGCGTCACAGTAATATTCAGAGTCTGGCCGAGCTTACGCTGGTCTTGGAGAGCGTAACGTAGAAGCTGACGGTTGGATCCCTGCCAGAAACTCTGCGGTTTGCGCATACAG